GTTGAGTTGCAACATTGTCATCATCATCATCATCATCATCATCATTACAGCCCAAAGTCCACTGCTGAACATAAGCAAGGAATACCACAAGGCACGGTCCCGAGCCACATGCTTTCTGTCATCATGAAAATGTATATACCATGCTTATCGGGAATGCAGTAAGCGTAAAGGCGAGAACGCTTTAAGAAAATTGATACACTCTGCAGTCTAGTTTATGCTTTCTAACGTCCCAATTTCTTTCTTCCCAATTACATATTAAAATAAGGATCGGAATTTTAAATAGATAAGGTCACAAAGATTCATTAAGCTACATTACACACTGTACAGGACGGCAGATATGAAGGCTCGTAAAAATCTTGGTTAGACGTTCTCGAGGTCAATTTCATTACAATTAAATGTCACAAATCTGTCTTGCAATAAGTTTATATTCCGCGTATATTTCCCGCTTTTCTTTCTCTTAATGCAATTCAAATATCAGCTGTCACTTTGGAAAATTACGTGGATGACTCAACGACTGTTGCTTTAAACAATTTCATTTGAAATAAATTTGGTATTCGGTTACATAAATTACCGATTCAGCGCACACTTTTGAACAAGACGCAAGTTGCTAATGCTAAAGTCAAATAGTACAAACCGCTGAAAACACTGATAGGTGTTTTGTATTCATCATTGTGCTAGTTACAATAATAATAGTTTCTATTTTCCTAAAAAGTCAAATTACTCGATAAAACTAGTATTTTGTAAGCTGTAAAACACGTATGCTTTAAATTTGATAGAGCCTATGTAAAATTTCTAAAGAAAACATAACAACTATATAAAGAAATAAAATCCAAAAGGCTGCCACTATCTGTTTTTGGCTCTCTCTTCTTGTACAGGGTAAAGATTTTTACCGAATAATTTGTCATGTTAACGCAAATATTGACGACCTTACATATAATCGTTGATTATCGCTTACATAATTTAAGTAAATATGAAATATCTCTATACCCGTCTCTTTCTATTGTCATTTAGTGAAAAGAGAGTGAGATAAAGCAACTGTGCAAATGAGCACTCGAAACACCGAGATTTCAAAATAAGTAATAAATAGAAGCGATAAAATTTGTTTCAATAAAATAATCCAACAGTCATTTTCTTATCGTATTAGTGTTTGGTTGGCAGTTATAAAAATACATAATTGAACCATGTTGTGCAGAAAAATGATTCAACACAAAAACAAAGTTGTTCAGATTTGAAAAATAAATGCATTTTTCTTGCGGCAGAAGCCAAATTATAAATAGAGCCGATAGATCATTATTTTAGCCAGTTTGTGGGTGGAGTCAATTTTGCACAACAAGGTCCAACTATGAATTATTATTATCAAGATGTGGCGTTCCTTGGGGGAGGCCTATGTTCAGCAGTGGACTTGGGACGAGCTGTAATGATGATGAAGATGATGGTGATTATATTTTCAAGATACTATTGTAGTCCCTATCATGCACCAAACGGCACATCCTAATTAGTTGTACGTTAACTTTGCTAGTACAAAATAAACCTACAAGAAACCTTCTGAAAATCATTAATATATCTAAGTTTATTAGGTTACCAGTCTTAATTTAGGAAATGTAGCATAACGGTGTAACAGATATATCTCATTATTTACTAATATTATTTCATTGCTTGCATAAATTCAATAAATTTACCCAAAAACTCATTTACTTCTAAACACAGAGCTGAAATACTCAAGGCAATTTCGGGCTACGATTAACTATACAACTATTACTTTTTATACGTTATAACATCTAAAAGTAAATCATGAAATCAATAATTATCATAGATCAAAGCTTTTTATAAAGATATACCGTAAGTTAACTGTCTAGTAAAATGTATTAGTGTTTTTATCTGACAGCGGCAAAACGTAATGTAGGGTTGAATTTTTAACTGTACATACCAGTTTAACTGTAAATTAATGTTTCTATGTATGTCTATAATTCCTATACTATAACAGTCGTAGGATTTTGACAAATATATCTTTATGAATTAGTCATAATTGCGCGGTAACACAAACTTTAAGACGCCATCATAAAATATAATATGGCGTACATGACGTATGAACTACACATAATATATATTGTAGTTTGTATATGAAACACATCTTATATTATTTATCACTGAACGCTGCTTCTTTGTTTTTTTTTTAATATCATTTTACTTTTAAAAAATTCATTGAAGCAAGTGATAATAAAAATATCATTGCATAAATACTATTTTGTTGATTGCTACATTTTTTCCGACATTATAAACTATCACTACATTTATTACAATTCATTCTCATTCTATTATTGGCCTACCTTTGTCCTTTGTCGTAAACAATCACTAGCACTTAAATGAAGAGTAGCAAGTGATATTTAGTAGTGCTGATGTTCCACATCTGGATCGGTCCCGTTCAAGTGCTCGGAAACTTAAACATTATATAGAACATATGTAGGACCTATGTAGATTAATTACAGTCGACAAAGTGGAATCATGGCGCACCCTTGGTCATTACAATAAACCTTACACATCACATGCTTGGCAGTATGGGAGACGTAACAAGGCAGTCGTCGACATTTCAAGCTGCACATATCCTGTTTATTTAATTAAATAATTTTACTCATAATACTAGTTTCTTTACATAATATAATTCGCAATGTTCACATTGGCTGACGTCAAAAAATAATGTCAATAATTGAAGTGGTCCAATAGCTCCCTGCTTGAATAAATTCATTCAGAATTTGCATTTATTTGATCAAATGGTCAAAAAAATGTTGCCAACATTTAAAGCTTTTTTCTGTTGTAATTTTTTCATTTAGAACGTTAGTTATATTACCTGATTGGCAGTGATAGGAGTTTACCTAATGAATGATAATGTTACATTTCGAATTTGTTGTTCAATTGTTTCTTAATTGTTAATTTTATTAAGAACGCAGTTTATTCACATTTGGTTTGTAGGATGCAATTCAAATAATACGTGTTGGCAATATATTGAACTGCACAACTGCTGCCTTGAGGTACTTTCACATTAAAGCTTTCCGAGAGCATTATAACATAATGTTGTCATTATTTCAGTACTGATGGTTACTTCATTATATAATTATATTACAGAATATTGTAACTAAATATTACTCCAAAAAAGTATAAGTAAGTTATACGCATGATAAAGTTAGCATAAAAATTACAGCACTACGAAAGATTTCCTACTATAATATAAGCATGGATATTTTCACTGATCGACTATCTTTAACTTTTGATCAATAGAATCAATTGAGACAACCATAGACAATAACAATAGCTTATCTTGCTTTAATACTTACTAGTTAGTTCAGAAATTGGGATTCTTGAATATATATTTTTTATTCATAAACCCACAATGGCCAGTGTTGATAAAATGTATGAAACCAACGCGGCAGTGTTACCAACTCTAACCAACTTTTCGGTAGGTCTACCAACTTTTAGTAATTAACTCCTATTTAATACTAAACGAATTTTTGAAAGATTTTTCGTTAATTGATTCTAATAATAACAACATACCATAGAATCTCAAGTGAATTCTCAATTATCACTGCTACAAATTGTCTTCACGTCCAAGTAGGTTTATTTAATCGAATAGAGGAATTGAATATTTAGATATACTAAACTTATTATGATTCGTTTCCCATTTTTTTTATTTTTTCGGTTTTATTTTGGGAAGTGATGATCAATGATCCTGCATTCACTGGGGTTCCTAATAAAAAGAAATGAAATATTTGTTACTCAATAGAAACATTATTATATCTACCTCCGAAACAAACTTCGGGTTGGTAACACTGTCAACGTGTCAAACTTACCTACCACATAGACGTGTGTCTTTTATTCATTTCAATTGACCTGATCATTCAAATGGATCATTTCGAGTTTCGGTACTCTGTGATCTGTGGAGAACCGATTGATAATGTCGGTCGTCGGACAATGCTATAATCATTGGTCCTGTCAATCGTTTGATCCGGAAAGTTCAAAAAAAGTAATTGCAATTATCAATACAAATTAAGAGTTTATTGATTCCGGGGATGAGGTAACTCGGTTGATGAGTGGCCATTTTGTATCTAGTACTGTTATATTCTGTGTAGTAAGTTTAATATTGCTTAATCATTTGTTAATTTTTGCATTCCCTTTTGAACAATGATCAGGGCATTACACATTGGATTAGCTAAGAGGGGCACGGTGATACATGGTATCCTTAAATGCTCGGTCTATTTTACTTACTAAAAAGGGGTTCAAATTAAGCAGTACGATATTTTAGACTTCGGTCGTGTTGACTGGATGTTCACTGCGTTATACCCCTTGTAGCTATACCAATGGTGTGTTCGATCAATCACACTCTACATTACTTTCGTTACACAACTGCATAACTATATTTTTAAACAGCATAAATACTAGATTAATAGTTTTTTTGTTTGTTCTGAACTGACTATCAATTATATATAATATGTAATATATAATTGACAGTAAGTGCTGCAAAAATTCATCATGCACAGACATAGTACAAAACAATTATTCATATACGGTCTTACTCATAAAAATAGACTACGACCAAGGAAATGTTTAAAATTGCTTTCTCTCTCTTTCTTTTTCTTATTTATATATTAGATTAAATGACAATATAAAGAGACAAGTAGGTATATATACCCATCTCTAGATTATTAATGCTCAATTTAAGTAAGCGATAACTATCGATTATAAATAAGACCGTATGTGTACTGTTAGGCGACAATGAGAAATACCAGATAGAGATAGATGTTGATGTAATTGTCTGACGCAGACACGGTAACAACGTCATCTATGGGAAGACAAAATCTTTTTGGTTTATCTCGTAATCGCCTCCTCACGAACGAGACGAAATGGAGTGACGGATGTTGAACGTTTATCAAGTATGCGCGGTTTTATGTGCAATATGTGTGATTACGTGTGGTGGGGGGGTGCGGTGCAGGTGGGTGGGGGGGCGGCGGTCACGAGCGGTGCGGGGTCGGCGGCTGGGCGTGCAGCTGCTGCGCCACGTGCGGCGGGATGTTGATCTGCACCGGCACCTGCATGTTCGAGCTCGTCGGCACCTGTTCACATATATTTTTCTATATAACCTCACACATACAAACAAATAAACTCCGTGCTTCCATACATCTTGATGCTACAAAAACTAAGTAAAACCGTACTGGACTGAGTTGTGCAGAAAACTTTCAACCCACAAAAAAAAAGTTATTCAGATTTGAACGGTAAATGCATTTAATTTCACTTGTGGCAAAACCCTCTCTTATATCATGTAATATTCATCATTTTAAAGAAAATTGTATGTAAATTTAAGGATTAAAAATTTTCCTCTTCGCATGTTATTATATAGATACTCACATGTATAGTAATCTCTGGCAGTATGGTATTGTTGGTGATATTGGTGGTGGTGATATTGGCGGTGCTGTTGGACGTTTGCTTCACTTCGCCCTGCTCGTGGTTCGCTTCGTCGCGCGCTCGTTTGCTTTCGTGCGAGCGAGCGTGTTTGCGCAAATGGTCTTTCCGGTAGAAACCTAAGAGCAATGGAATGCATGAGTTAAATTAATTGAACAAAATAACAAGCATAAATAGTCATACCAACAAGTAAGCGAACGTATTTGTACGAGGGTTAGTAAACTAAGTGTTAATGTATTTACGTTCGCCATACAGAGCCATTTTGACGAAGTGTACGTGTGTCTATAGCAATCGTTTCTGTGGTTAGCATTAATTAAAACAAATAAAATCACTTGGAGATATCTTTTGTGTAAAATCTAATTTTTAAAAGACAATACTTTTAAAATAAAATTAACCAGCCATGAATTGTGGAAACAAGATAGAGCATTTTGGTCCAATAAATGTTTAAGTATTTTTATCTCACTATGATGGATAAGTCTTACTAGAGAATGTCAGTGTATGCACTTTGTTTTAGAGAGTCAAAAATTACTGTCAAGTACCATAGGGTACGAACGAGAACAGAAAGTAAATGGAGAAAAGTTGTTTGCAGTGAAGTAAGAAAATTATTATCGTCTCCTTTCCTATATTATTAAATGCTTGTGTCGAGTTACAGCAGCCGAACGTAAGTTTGAACGTAACATGTAATGATTGATGTGTAAGGGGCTTTGGACTGTGCTTTGTGACAATCCTTGAGGAGGCCTATGTTCAGCAGCGGACTAGTGAAGGGCTGTAATGATGATGATGATAATGTCTAACACATACAAGTAAGACACGTACATTATTGTGATATAAACATATTTTAGGTTTCAAGCGGGAACTTGATCGGCGGAAACCATAAGCCGACCGTCGTACGCACCTTGAGAGTACGTCGTACGTCCTTGAGATACAACGTGTACCTTTACCGCACTCGCCGCAGAGCTCGGTCTTGATGCCGGAGTGTATGACGGTGTGCAGGTTGAGATACAACGTGTACCTTTGCCGCACTCGCCGCAGAGCTCGGTCTTGATGCCGGAGTGTATGACGGTGTGCAGGTTGAGATACAACGTGTACCTTTGCCGCACTCGCCGCAGAGCTCGGTCTTGATGCCGGAGTGTATGACGGTGTGCAGGTTGAGATACAACGTGTACCTTTGCCGCACTCGCCGCAGAGCTCGGTCTTGATGCCGGAGTGTATGACGGTGTGCAGGTTGAGATACAACGTGTACCTTTGCCGCACTCGCCGCAGAGCTCGGTCTTGATGCCGGAGTGTATGACGGTGTGCAGGTTGAGATACAACGTGTACCTTTGCCGCACTCGCCGCAGAGCTCGGTCTTGATGCCGGAGTGTATGACGGTGTGCAGGTTGAGATACAACGTGTACCTTTGCCGCACTCGCCGCAGAGCTCGGTCTTGATGCCGGAGTGTATGACGGTGTGCAGGTTGAGATACAACGTGTACCTTTGCCGCACTCGCCGCAGAGCTCGGTCTTGATGCCGCAGTGTATGACGGTGTGCAGGTTGAGATACAACGTGTACCTTTGCCGCACTCGCCGCAGAGCTCGGTCTTGATGCCGGAGTGTATGACGGTGTGCAGGTTGAGATACAACGTGTACCTTTACCGCACTCGCCGCAGAGCTCGGTCTTGATGCCGCAGTGTATGACGGTGTGCAGGTTGAGATACAACGTGTACCTTTGCCGCACTCGCCGCAGAGCTCGGTCTTGATGCCGGAGTGTATGACGGTGTGCAGGTTGAGATACAACGTGTACCTTTGCCGCACTCGCCGCAGAGCTCGGTCTTGATGCCGGAGTGTATGACGGTGTGCAGGTTGAGATACAACGTGTACCTTTGCCGCACTCGCCGCAGAGCTCGGTCTTGATGCCGCAGTGTATGACGGTGTGCAGGTTGAGATACAACGTGTACCTTTGCCGCACTCGCCGCAGAGCTCGGTCTTGATGCCGGAGTGTATGACGGTGTGCAGGTTGAGATACAACGTGTACCTTTACCGCACTCGCCGCAGAGCTCGGTCTTGATGCCGCAGTGTATGACGGTGTGCAGGTTGAGATACAACGTGTACCTTTGCCGCACTCGCCGCAGAGCTCGGTCTTGATGCCGGAGTGTATGACGGTGTGCAGGTTGAGATACAACGTGTACCTTTGCCGCACTCGCCGCAGAGCTCGGTCTTGATGCCGGAGTGTATGACGGTGTGCAGGTTGAGATACAACGTGTACCTTTGCCGCACTCGCCGCAGAGCTCGGTCTTGATGCCGGAGTGTATGACGGTGTGCAGGTTGAGATACAACGTGTACCTTTGCCGCACTCGCCGCAGAGCTCGGTCTTGATGCCGGAGTGTATGACGGTGTGCAGGTTGAGATACAACGTGTACCTTTGCCGCACTCGCCGCAGAGCTCGGTCTTGATGCCGCAGTGTATGACGGTGTGCAGGTTGAGATACAACGTGTACCTTTGCCGCACTCGCCGCAGAGCTCGGTCTTGATGCCGGAGTGTATGACGGTGTGCAGGTTGAGATACAACGTGTACCTTTACCGCACTCGCCGCAGAGCTCGGTCTTGATGCCGCAGTGTATGACGGTGTGCAGGTTGAGATACAACGTGTACCTTTGCCGCACTCGCCGCAGAGCTCGGTCTTGATGCCGGAGTGTATGACGGTGTGCAGGTTGAGATACAACGTGTACCTTTGCCGCACTCGCCGCAGAGCTCGGTCTTGATGCCGGAGTGTATGACGGTGTGCAGGTTGAGATACAACGTGTACCTTTGCCGCACTCGCCGCAGAGCTCGGTCTTGATGCCGCAGTGTATGACGGTGTGCAGGTTGAGATACAACGTGTACCTTTGCCGCACTCGCCGCAGAGCTCGGTCTTGATGCCGGAGTGTATGACGGTGTGCAGGTTGAGATACAACGTGTACCTTTACCGCACTCGCCGCAGAGCTCGGTCTTGATGCCGCAGTGTATGACGGTGTGCAGGTTGAGATACAACGTGTACCTTTGCCGCACTCGCCGCAGAGCTCGGTCTTGATGCCGGAGTGTATGACGGTGTGCAGGTTGAGATACAACGTGTACCTTTGCCGCACTCGCCGCAGAGCTCGGTCTTGATGCCGGAGTGTATGACGGTGTGCAGGTTGAGATACAACGTGTACCTTTGCCGCACTCGCCGCAGAGCTCGGTCTTGATGCCGGAGTGTATGACGGTGTGCAGGTTGAGATACAACGTGTACCTTTGCCGCACTCGCCGCAGAGCTCGGTCTTGATGCCGGAGTGTATGACGGTGTGCAGGTTGAGATACAACGTGTACCTTTGCCGCACTCGCCGCAGAGCTCGGTCTTGATGCCGGAGTGTATGACGGTGTGCAGGTTGAGATACAACGTGTACCTTTGCCGCACTCGCCGCAGAGCTCGGTCTTGATGCCGGAGTGTATGACGGTGTGCAGGTTGAGATACAACGTGTACCTTTGCCGCACTCGCCGCAGAGCTCGGTCTTGATGCCGCAGTGTATGACGGTGTGCAGGTTGAGATACAACGTGTACCTTTGCCGCACTCGCCGCAGAGCTCGGTCTTGATGCCGGAGTGTATGACGGTGTGCAGGTTGAGATACAACGTGTACCTTTACCGCACTCGCCGCAGAGCTCGGTCTTGATGCCGCAGTGTATGACGGTGTGCAGGTTGAGATACAACGTGTACCTTTGCCGCACTCGCCGCAGAGCTCGGTCTTGATGCCGGAGTGTATGACGGTGTGCAGGTTGAGATACAACGTGTACCTTTGCCGCACTCGCCGCAGAGCTCGGTCTTGATGCCGGAGTGTATGACGGTGTGCAGGTTGAGATACAACGTGTACCTTTGCCGCACTCGCCGCAGAGCTCGGTCTTGATGCCGGAGTGTATGACGGTGTGCAGGTTGAGATACAACGTGTACCTTTGCCGCACTCGCCGCAGAGCTCGGTCTTGATGCCGGAGTGTATGACGGTGTGCAGGTTGAGATACAACGTGTACCTTTGCCGCACTCGCCGCAGAGCTCGGTCTTGATGCCGGAGTGTATGACGGTGTGCAGGTTGAGATACAACGTGTACCTTTGCCGCACTCGCCGCAGAGCTCGGTCTTGATGCCGGAGTGTATGACGGTGTGCAGGTTGAGATACAACGTGTACCTTTGCCGCACTCGCCGCAGAGCTCGGTCTTGATGCCGGAGTGTATCACGGTGTGCAGGTTGAGATACAACGTGTACCTTTGCCGCACTCGCCGCAGAGCTCGGTCTTGATGCCGGAGTGTATGACGGTGTGCAGGTTGAGATACAACGTGTACCTTTGCCGCACTCGCCGCAGAGCTCGGTCTTGATGCCGGAGTGTATGACGGTGTGCAGGTTGAGATACAACGTGTACCTTTGCCGCACTCGCCGCAGAGCTCGGTCTTGATGCCGGAGTGTATGACGGTGTGCAGGTTGAGATACAACGTGTACCTTTGCCGCACTCGCCGCAGAGCTCGGTCTTGATGCCGGAGTGTATGACGGTGTGCAGGTTGAGATACAACGTGTACCTTTGCCGCACTCGCCGCAGAGCTCGGTCTTGATGCCGGAGTGTATGACGGTGTGCAGGTTGAGATACAACGTGTACCTTTGCCGCACTCGCCGCAGAGCTCGGTCTTGATGCCGGAGTGTATGACGGTGTGCAGGTTGAGATACAACGTGTACCTTTGCCGCACTCGCCGCAGAGCTCGGTCTTGATGCCGGAGTGTATGACGGTGTGCAGGTTGAGATACAACGTGTACCTTTGCCGCACTCGCCGCAGAGCTCGGTCTTGATGCCGGAGTGTATGACGGTGTGCAGGTTGAGATACAACGTGTACCTTTGCCGCACTCGCCGCAGAGCTCGGTCTTGATGCCGGAGTGTATGACGGTGTGCAGGTTGAGATACAACGTGTACCTTTGCCGCACTCGCCGCAGAGCTCGGTCTTGATGCCGGAGTGTATGACGGTGTGCAGGTTGAGATACAACGTGTACCTTTGCCGCACTCGCCGCAGAGCTCGGTCTTGATGCCGGAGTGTATGACGGTGTGCAGGTTGAGATACAACGTGTACCTTTGCCGCACTCGCCGCAGAGCTCGGTCTTGATGCCGGAGTGTATGACGGTGTGCAGGTTGAGATACAACGTGTACCTTTGCCGCACTCGCCGCAGAGCTCGGTCTTGATGCCGGAGTGTATGACGGTGTGCAGGTTGAGATACAACGTGTACCTTTGCCGCACTCGCCGCAGAGCTCGGTCTTGATGCCGGAGTGTATGACGGTGTGCAGGTTGAGATACAACGTGTACCTTTGCCGCACTCGCCGCAGAGCTCGGTCTTGATGCCGGAGTGTATGACGGTGTGCAGGTTGAGATACAACGTGTACCTTTGCCGCACTCGCCGCAGAGCTCGGTCTTGATGCCGGAGTGTATGACGGTGTGCAGGTTGAGATACAACGTGTACCTTTGCCGCACTCGCCGCAGAGCTCGGTCTTGATGCCGGAGTGTATGACGGTGTGCAGGTTGAGATACAACGTGTACCTTTGCCGCACTCGCCGCAGAGCTCGGTCTTGATGCCGGAGTGTATGACGGTGTGCAGGTTGAGATACAACGTGTACCTTTGCCGCACTCGCCGCAGAGCTCGGTCTTGATGCCGGAGTGTATGACGGTGTGCAGGTTGAGATACAACGTGTACCTTTGCCGCACTCGCCGCAGAGCTCGGTCTTGATGCCGGAGTGTATGACGGTGTGCAGGTTGAGATACAACGTGTACCTTTGCCGCACTCGCCGCAGAGCTCGGTCTTGATGCCGGAGTGTATGACGGTGTGCAGGTTGAGATACAACGTGTACCTTTGCCGCACTCGCCGCAGAGCTCGGTCTTGATGCCGGAGTGTATGACGGTGTGCAGGTTGAGGTGCTCGCGCCGCTTGAAGCCCTTGTTGCACACGCCGCACGTGTACGGCCGATCAGGGTTGTGGCCCAGCTTGTGCCGCTCCAAGTGCTCCTTGCGCTTCAAACTACACGAATATAAAAACAACGAATCATTATTAAAGAACCATAAATCCAAATGGAGTGGACGTCTTCCAAAATAGTTTCGTTAATGTGAAAAACGTATGCCGTATGAATGGTCGTCCAGTTTTGGATAACTACGCCATTTGGAAGCAGTCCGAATTGTCTGTGAATGGGCAAAACCACGACCATGTTTTTGTGATTTTTGTCTCAGTTTGTGCTCTGGTATTGACATATCTGGTATAGACGGTACATGTGCTGGATCATAGGAGCTCTGTGGCTGAGTCTATGATATGTTTAAACAAAATTCTCCGGATTGAATTATATGTTATTATATGTACGTCTGCAAGTGACTGATTAGAAATAATTTTAAAAAATCGATTCCATGTTTATGGCAAATGGAACATCCTTATTATCACAACAGGGAAAAGATAAATGCAGCAATGTATGCTTTGTTGGCGTTGTTTAAAACAAATAACGCTAACTTTTCAATCGCCCTTTTATCCATTTTCTCTTACGTTTTTTCTGTCTTTTTATCGAAATACACACTGCTGTTGTCACCATTAAAAATATATTTAATTGTTTTCGAGTTTTAAAAATAATTAATTAATTTCGAGTACTTCCATTAGAAAGTATTCCATTTAGAAGTATTCCAAACAGATGTATCGTCAATGGGCACCAAATCTCGGAAAACTCGAAAATGGCTCGTTCGATTTTCATGATTGATTGTGTTGTTAATTGGTCCCTGGATGGTTTAGATTCACAACTAGACTCGGTAGCAATGTAGTGGCAATGTACGAAGTCGAGGCAGATTGCTAGTGTTAGTATATGGTTACCCCAGACGTAAATTAGTGAAACTATTCATCTTTTAATTTTTCATTATTATTCTTAATAGAATAATTTCTAGGATTCTGAAGTAGAGTAGAGGCCAGGGTTACATATTAGTACGAGTAAGCATTATTAACCGCGCGCATTGGCGAACTTTTCGTGCACACAAAGTATTTTGAAGTGAAAAATTCTTTAGAATCATTGATTTGAAACTCAATGAAACGAAAAACCGACATTAAAAAGAGACAAACATATAATATATAATCTATAATTTAGCCTGCGAAAGAATGAGATAGAATACAGTATACAGTGTCTCCTGTTATGGATTAAACAACTTAAGACGAAATTTGTTGATTGGAAAATATTTAAATAGTGATGAAATTGAAAACTTCTGAGTCTGTATAATATCATAATATGTAATTAAGTAAGTAATATAGATATGTAACAATATTATAATAAATAGACCCTACAATTATTCTACTCCTGACACTCTGCATTCGTCTCATTCCCTCGAAGTTCGGTTTTCTTAAGGTTTCCCTTCTACCGCGTGTGAACTGGTGGTCAGTTTATCGTGTTATTTTTTTAAACTTGCAGTCTACCTGATGGTAAATAGCTATTACATATTTTATGAACACCTGCAACCTACTTCGAACAAAGAAGACTACAGATGATCACAGCCTGTAATTAGATAGGCTTCCTATACCCTTCCGACCAGAAAACAGCAGGGCAAACACCGCTATTTGGCGGCAGAAATAGGTAAGCAAGAGGTACCAACTACCAACTCCGACAGAATCCTAGGCAAACAAATAGTAAATTAAACATTTGGACAACCAACTTCAATATAAATAAAATAAAACAATGTTCTCATTGTCAATGGACTCGAAATCAATTAAATACGCATTACGAGGGTGGATTGAAAAGTACTCGGCCTAACACAGATCCATTCAATTCTAAAAATCAAATCTACCCACATTATTTAGTTCAGTTCAGACTAGTTCATTGTGTGAAGTTCGAAACGTGTGCGATAATTAGTTGTGATTTTATAAATTTATTAACAAAGTAATCAGACATAATTTCCACGAATGGAGCAAATCGAGCAGCGTGCCGTCATTAAGTACCTCCATAAGAAGGGGCAAAAGCCATCCATGATGACATGGTCAGTACATTAGGCGATTGTGCTCTGTCATATTCATCCGTCAAAAAATGGATAGCAGAATTTAAGCGTGGTAGAGAAAGTGTTAAAGACGAACCCCGCTCTGGAAGGCCTTCGACGTCAACTACTGACGAAAATATTAAAAAAGTACTTGATTTAATAATGGGAGACCGCAGATTAAAAATTAGAGAGATAGCCGAGATTATAGGCATCTCTTATGAACGAACTCAAAACATCGTTGTCAACGAGTTGGGTTTCCACAAGGTGTCTGCGAGGTGGGTTCCGCGACTGCTTTCAGTTGAACAAAAAAGGACGCGATTGACTATTTCACGCGACTGTTTGGAGTTATTTGAAGCCGATGCAGATGATTTTTTGAATCGTTTTGTTACTATGGACGAAACATGGGTTCATTACTGTACACCGGAAACAAAACAACAATCAAAACAGTGGAGAAGACCTGGTTCACCACCCCCTAAAAAGGCTAAGTCGATTTTGTCGGCAAATAAGGTGATGGCTTCAGTATTCTGGGACTCGAAAGGTGTGATTATGATTAATTATCTTGAAAGGGGTCAGAATATAAACTCTGATTACTACTGCATCTTACTACGTCGTCTACGAGAGGAAATAAAAGAAAAACGTCGAGGAATGCTCAGAAGAAAAGTCCTGTTTCATCAAGATAACGCCCGTGTTCACACGTCAGTACAGTCAATGGCTGAAATTCACAACTGTGGCTTTGAACTGTTACCGCATCCGCCGTATTCACCTGATCTGGCACCATCAGACTTCTTTCTGTTCCCTAACCTAAAAAAGCACTTGGGAGGTCAAAGATTTTCGACAAACGACGAGGTCAAAGCAGCTGTAGACGCATATTTTGACTCTAAGGAAGAATCAGTTTTTTTCAACGGTCTAAATGCTTGGAAGGGGAGGTGGCAAAAGTGTATTGAACTTGATGGTGATTATGTAGAAAAATAAAAATATAACTGATTTAGTATTTGTTTATTTTCTTGGTTAGGCCGAGTACTTTTCAATCCACCCTCGTATTAAGGAGAATTCAAAAACTACTGGTTATCTTGATCAAATATATATGGGACCACATGAAAAGCACCAGCTTTTATATATATACTGAACACCGTTATAGTAAATATATTAGAAAAAAGAATGCAAGCATTTTAGTTCGAATGCGCGAAACGACGACTAATGACTTGGAACAGCTGTAGAACACTCACCCGGCGCCGCAAATGCCGCAAATGAACCGCCTCTCGATCTTGTGCACTATGAGATGCATCTCGAGCTGCTCCTTGGCGGGATACGCCATCTGGCACTCCGGACAGCAGAAGATGGACGTGCCGTCGGAAGCTGTCGCGATCACAACCTGCCCGGGCTTCGGACGCGCTGGCTTCGGTGGCTTCTTCTTGTACTTCTTTTTCTTTTTTATCCTTATTACTCCATCTATCATAAAGAAATTACTAACTAAAAAATATACTAAAACTTGAAATATAATTATAGTGTAATTTATATGGTATTTGTTATCTAAACCTCTCTCTCTAAATCTAAATTTATTTTAATTTCTCGGATGAAATTATGACTTCTAAAAAGATAAAATGTGTACCGCTTTCCAATAAAATATCCAAAAAAAATTCTCACACCTAAACCAGAGAATGCTGATTTTTATTAGAAAAAATTACATTAGAGCTAGTCTTATCATAATTGTATGGAACCTGGTGCCACCAGTTTTGTACGTGGTAGAGCCATGCTACAGCCATATTAATACTATGGTTCTAGCACGAATGGGTCGGCTCGACCGGGGAGGGACCACGCTCTCACAGAATACCAGCGTAAAATAGCAGCTTAATGCTGCTGTTTGGTATGAATATTTTACAGAACCGGAGACCCTTTTTACTGGAAACAAGGCATTCCATCTTAGTCCTCACAGGTAACAAGCATTTTAATTCGTAATCGAGGATAGATGTAGATGTCTATGGGCCACAGCATCCACTTACTTACATAAGATGGACTACGTGCTTGTTTGTCACTCTTATACTGTAAAAAAAAGGTATATTTATTCACTCAGAGAGTAAAGTTAAATATTACCGTCATCAAGAACAGCCTCGGCCACAGTGCGCTCTTTATCTTCTGTAGTGGGGCTAACTTCCATCTCTAGTGAGTCTTTCTTGATCTCAGTGGGATTTAATCGCAGAAACTGCTGCAGGGAAACTGGCAATGCTTGTGCTTGCTGAACCAAAAAAATTATAACAATGAATATTCCAATTCAACTAGTGATTTTTTTATCAGTACATAAATACCATCTGTTACAGATTACTTGGTGATATTATGTATTTACCATGATACTGAAAAATCAAATCTGTAATTTCAAAATCAATTGCAAATTTTACACCAAACAGCAAACATAGATGGAAAAGCAAGAAAATAAAAACATATTAAAAAGTGTGTGTACTTCTGTATGCACGTAGGAAGTTATACTTCTTTTGCATAACAAAACACAAAAACTTGAGTCAATTACCCGCTGAAGTTGTCGCTTTTAAGTGTCAGTGTGCGTGCATATCGTAACAATCATAATTTTTCCCAAACACCCCAAAAGAAGTATAACTACAAAAATTTACCTGTGGTGGCAGCTGATTGAGATATTTCAGAAGGTCTTGCGAGGAGTTGCCTAGTTGCCAAGACATTCCTTCACTTGCTTCCGTGCCTTGAGAGCTCTCCTATCAACATAGAAAATAGTTGTCAGTATGTACTTCTTGTAAAAACATACAAACTTTATATATTTACAATAATATTAAGATTTATCTAAATACTCACATCATCGTTGTTTTCAACACACTCCTCCTTTATAACAATTTCCACAGAATTATTGTTCTCCCCGCTTGTGTTGTTATTGAGAGGCTTGCTGTCCCCCGGATTACCGATCACAATTTGATGGTTCTGAGTTACATACACCTGGAAACAATTACACTAATATAAAAAAATCAGAAATCAAAGACAACTTTACTTTATAAAAGTCCTCTTGACATTTAAATTTTGCAGCCCTTGGAAAGAAGAAAAGCGCTCCAAATACGAATGCATAATTTGCAGTAGCATTGTATGTAGATCTGTGCGTGAAATTGTACCATCAAGATATTGCTGAAATCTGGATAAGTAATAAAACATTTTTTCTTTTTTAAATGTTGTTACATTAAAAATATACAAATAAATGTTACAACATACAAAATATAAAATGATATATTATCATTTTTATTACATACATCATTTCTTACTTAAGTCAACAGCTGATCATAGCCTCTGTTGATTGCCTCATATGGAGGGATTTTGCCATAGTTTTCACATTTGGCCTGTGAGTTGGCAACCGCGCCCTTTCTATTTTCAATTGTTATCAGAAAAATACTGCTGTCCATCTCCTGTTTGTTTCCCTCTGACGCCTCTTAAGACACATATGAAATGAAAAGTTTTATATCCCATGTCATTCCCTCAATTTAGACGAATCTAACACCACGTTACTTTCGCACATGTTAAAATACATCAAGCCGTTCAGCGTGCCAAAGAAATAGACAATACATACATATTATCACATACATATTCTATACCACTGTTAAATACCTCTAAGCAGTTGGGTAACAGATGGTAAGGAAGTGATCTTGCTGTACCTAATAGCAGTGTTTTGGATCATTACTTAAATCCACTAAAAACAGAAACATTAAAAATACAAAAACACACCTGATGCTGAATATTTTGTTGCATCTGATCCTTGTCCTGGGTCTGCGTTTGTTGCACCAACTGCATCTCTTGTGGCAACGCAAGCACTTGAAGGCCTAAGAACGAGAGACGGTGGATGTATATTATTATACTGACAAGTGATATGGTGATGCTTTGTTGGAAGTGCTTTTTGTAAGAGTTGAATTATTATGTGTAAACATCTATAATGCTTTGTGATGACTGTTCTTGATAACATATTGAACCTCTACTCTTAACTCTTCCACAGACTCATATGAGCTTTTGTAAATGAAATTACATGTCCCCACAAAAAAAAATCCAGCGGCGTAAGATCTGGAGATCTTGCAACCCCTTTAATTAGTCCATTTGTACCTATCCAGACGATGAATTTATTATTAAAAAATTATTATTTATAAGCAGTGGTTATTCTACTATTACGGGCAGGAGCACCGTCTGGTTGAAATATGATATTATTTAGCTCCTCCTCTGGCAGACAATTTAATTTATTTCATAGGTCTAATATTTCTATGTATTTTCTTGTATTCAGGCGTCATGCTGTTTTTTCCAACCTGTATAGTATAAATATGATATAAATTTAAAATATTAGTATAAATTAATTTTTTTTGGTTCACTGTACTTTGAATTGTGGATGGACATCACGTGGACGTTAATGTGACAAGGTTCCAAGCGCATTACCAATTTCCGGGACTTATACCTTATGATTTACCAAAACTAGAAAAATGAAGAAAATGTAATGTGGCGAATTACAACAACATACCTTCAGGTAACGTGTTTCCCAACAATTGAATGCCGCCATTTTCTGTGTTCTCCGGCGAATACGCCACCGTCAGCACAGCACCACCTTGCAAACAATATGTCCCCTTTTAATTAATGGTGCCTTATTATGTTTGACATCGTTTGGTGAATGTAGAGACCCTTTTTACTGGAAAACAGGCATTTCATCTTAGCCCTCACGGGTGACAACGCATCTGCATTTTATTCGCAAACGGGGATAGATGTAGATGTCTATGGGCCACAGTAACCACTTATCATCAGGTGGACTATGTACTCTCTTGTCACCCTTATCCTATATAAAAAAAAAATAACATTCTAAGTCTCCAACACTGTATTTCGACTAACACATATCAAAACCGAATAAGCACTTTAAGACCACTGATTTGGGCCTACTTACTTACTTAGACCTCATCGCATAAGTTATTAAAGCTAAGGGTGCTTAAGTATGAGAGGATATTTTGCTGTATATTTCATATTGTATACATTATATGTATATGATATCTCAGTAGTCACTTTCACAATAAACCTCAGTATTTGCGTGTACACTTGTGAGAATATAATTTATTATGTAACATTTGACAACTTTCGTTGTATTTTAGGCTAGCGTTGTATTGTGAATCGGCGATAAGAGCGACAATTTAACTTATAATATATGCTTTATATTGAGAATCGCCGGCTGCTGTGTTCCGATTTGAAGAGCTATTATAACTTTAGCCATTCAATCTTAATCCTCCCGGAGCTACAACGTATCTAAGATATTGTTTATTAGTTATAGATTTTTTATGTTTATGTCCTAATATGTGTAATAATGAATTATTATTGACTAAAACTATAGAACATATATTTATATAAGGGTTATTTTGAAATAACCAGCCAAATTAGCAGAGAAGGTTCAGAATAAATAATATAGACAAATGGTTAAGAAGAATTAATAAAAAAAATCTCAAACATTCTGTCCTTTTTATCTTTTAAGTTCAAAATGCATTGTAATGCATTATTTTAACTGATTTTATTGCGCATGCACACATTCGTAAGAGTCGATCGGTAGGCAGAAACATTGTTGCCCGTAAATCCCATTCAATTTTAGATAATATCAAATGAAAGTAGAGGCCTTATTTACTCGTACATTCAAAAACTGCAATAACAGTATATCATTATTTATATATCGGAACTTAATTTTAAAATTAGGCTACTCTTTAAAAAAATATCCCTGTATATACTTTAACCGTTCTTATATCATAGGTTTTGCAGAATTCTTTTAAAATTCAAATGTTAGGTAACATTACCATAGTAATGGTTGTCTTTCTATCATCATCATTATCATCATCATTACAGCCCTTCACAAGTCCACTGCTGAACATAGGCCTCCCCCAAAGAATGCCACAAAGCACGGTCCTGAGCCACCTGCATCCATCGACTTCCTGCATGTCTTACCAGGTCGTCACTCCATCTCGTGGGGGGACGCCCTACACTTCGCCTACCGGTACGAGGCTGCCACTCGAGAACCTTTCTTCCCCATCGGTTGTCGGTTCTTCGAGCTATATGGCCGGCCCACTGCCACTTCAGCTTACTAATTCGTTGGGCTATGTCGGTTATTCTGGTTCTACTGCGGATATCCTCATTCCTAAGTTTATCACGCAGTGAAACTCCAAGCATAGCCCTCTCCATAGCTCGCTGAGCGACCTTGAGCTTCCTCATACGGCCAGCAGTGAAGGACCACGTCTCAGTTCCGTAAGTCATCACTGGCAACACGCACTGGTTGTACAATTTTGTTTTAAGGTTTTGAGGTATGTCTGACGAGAATATGTGTCGTAGCTTCCCGAACGCTGCCCAGCCGAGTTGAATCCGTCGATTGACCTCTCGGTCGAAGTTGGACTTACCTAGTCGGACTATTTGTCCCAGGTAAACATACTCGTCAACAACTTCGAGCTTAGTGCTCCCAACAACTACCGTCGAAATTTGGGCGGTGCTGCAGTCCCTTCAGCGGTGCCAAGTTGACTGTCGGTATATCGAAGTGTTGAAGTGCTTGTACAGTAGGGCTACGATGGCTATCCGAGTACAGAACCAGAGTACGAAAGCTATCCAATTGCAGAGAGGTGTAAGACAGGGTGACGTCATATCCCCGAAACTCTTCACCGCTGCATTGGAAGACGTTTTCAAGCTTCTGGACTGGAAAGGATACGGTATCAACATCAATGGCGACTACATCACTCACCTTCGATTTGCCGACGATATAGTCCTTATGGCAGAATCGCTGGAGGGCCTAAGCACTATGCTCAATGACCTCAATAGTGTTTCCCAACGGATAGGTCTTAAGATGAACATGGACAAAACAAAGATCATGTTTAATGTCCATGTCACACCTATGCCGGTAGTTGTCTTTCTATACAGATACAAAATTAAAATCCAACATGGAAAGTTTGAACCTGCAGAATGATTATTATCGGTTACCTTGATGGGAATTGTTATCAATGGGAATCATACTGTTATAAGTTGTTTTACAATAACCCTTTGCCAATTAAATGCCACCTTAAATAAACTAATAAATTTTACGTCCTGTCTTTCTTGTGATTCACGTCTGTGTTCAGAAAGTTTTTTTATTGTGCCAAACTAGGTACTCTATATGAGCGGTTACAATCTATCATAAATCTTACACATTGTTAATCTTTAGTACCTTGCTGAAAGCCCTGTATTGGTATTTGCATTTGATATTTTGGCTGCTGTTGCGCCTGCAGCGTCAGATTAGGACCCAGAACTTGAATCTGCACTGTTGGCTGAGGATCACCTGTTAAACCACAAAAACCGTCAAATTAAACTTTACAACACCTAAACTTCATAGGAAAGAAAGTGGCAGCATCAAACCGTTGATAGTGACAAAGGACCATACTAGATAGAATATGAAAGTAGTCTCGGTGGATGCATTTATTATTGATTACATTTGAATGACTTTTATTTTCATGAAAGTGTTAGTTAATTATTTAATTATATTAAGTACAACTCTTTAGAAATTTCTAGAGGTGACTTATGAAAAAAAAAAAGAAATAAGATGTACAAAACAAATGCGCAGAAACTACAAGTACTATAGTGCTATACTGTACTTACTAATGCTACATCAAGTCTTTTTGAGTTTTTATCTAAAGCATATTTTTGCGTTATTTTGTACAAAAATTTTAAAGTAGGTAAATAAAGCTATTTTTTATTTAGATTCAAGATTAGCTATGGTACTGAAAATTAATACAAACCAGGCTTGGCTCCTGGCAATGCAATTGGTACGGAAATAAGTTGTGGTGTACTTTGCAGTGTAGCGCCGCCGTCCAAGGCACGCACATATTGTACTCCTTCAGGCAAATTGACTCCGCCAACCATACCAACAACCTGAAAAGCGTTCAAACAAATTTGCTTTAACCTTGGAAGCAAGAAATGTCTTTATATTTTTTAATGAGAGATTGTGTTACTGTTGTCTAGAGTTCATGAAATCTTCCAGTCATTTCCCTAGGTTGACTACCATGACACCCACCACCAGGTGATTACTTTTTAAATTTTAAATACATTTTTCTTTTCATTTTACTAACAGGTGGATCATAAGCTTGTAAAATATTAAATTTTTTATTATTTTTGAAATTGTACCTGTGAGAGAGAAGTGCCATTATTTGAAACATTCTGTTGCAATTTTGTAACTGGCAGCTGTCCACCGGTAGTCACAAAATGAGTCCCAGCACCGCCCACCGCTGAGAAAGCAGTGAAATTCATCTCCGAATCTTCTTCACTGTGTGTAGAATGAAATTGTATTTTATATTCGGAATTCTTGTAAAATATCTTGAAAATTATAATATAATATAAACACTCAATTTATAACATCTCCAGACATTTGCTATATTTCAACTGAAAGTAAAAAATGGTAAAAATGCTAAATTCTGTTAATCCTTTTGTGATTTTAATTCTCTGTGACTTTACTATATCAACTTGCCTTTTAAAGATATTTATTAATAAATCATTCACAAAGAAGATTCACTATTAAATTTTCTGTAAGTACTTGTCAACAAAATTAATATGAAATTGGACAGTTAAACATTATTAAAAAATAATAGTTGTATTATGATAATAATAATAATAATAATACATATAAATATTATCTGTCAGAAGAAATATGAAATATACATGAAAATAAGAGCTGTTATTTTTGTTCAAAATTGCAAATATTTTTTCACATACTTTTTCAATATTAAGAAGGATATTGTTGCATAGTCTGATAACCATTAGGGGGAAGTAGTGAGATAAGTAACCAGTACAGTGTAAACAAGTGAGCAATGTGATATTCCTCGAAGTACAGAGAGAACAATAATGAGAATCTCCCAGGTATTCTAACATATCCGTGCTGACGGAAATATATATAAATCTATGATTATATTATATATTTAAATCTAGAATAAATATATATCAAACATATATATACATATCTAAATCTAGAAATGCATGTTTAATTTGTATTTGAATAAAATTTGTACTTGAATTTGAATGCTTTATGATTTTTTTTAATAGAATGGGGTGACGAACAAACACACAGTCCACCTCATGATAAGTGGATTCTGTGGCGCAAAGATGTCTACATTTATCCTCAATTAAGAATCAAAATGTAGATGCATTGTCACCCCTGTGGACTATGATGAAAGGCCTCATTTCCAGTAAAAAGGGGTTACGGTTTTCAACACACATCATATGAAATACAGCAGCATTAAGCTGCTATTTTACGCTGGTATTCATTTACTAGTTTCCAAAATTGTAATCCATAGTCATACAGCAGTGTGTGAGAATGCGGTAGTATGATTGCCTTTAAAATTGTCCTACTTTCTTTTTTTACATAACTATTTGAGTTTCAGGTATTAAAAAACTTAGGTATTATTATAATGTACATTTTTTAATGAATAAAAATTCTTGCTACATTTATATCATTATATTTATAAATTTTATTCAAATAAAGAAATTAGTTTTAAAGCTAAATTCATTAATACATATTGTTTAAGAATCATGTTGGAAACATGTCCCCATACCAAGAGGCATCCTCTCTTGTGGGCATTTTCTGCATGTCGCACATGTTACACTCTCCTCTTCGTGGCCGCCAAAGCGGGAGAAAAATGAAATTAAAACCACTGTCCCACTTGCGTCATTCGGTAACCACCCGCGTATCCCCACGTCCCGCGATCCCACCACTTTTCGCCACTACGGGACTACACAGGGAACTAGATGGAAGGGCACATACTACTATTGACCACCGCACACAACACTACACTAAAATTATTTTCAACAATGTGAAGAAGCAAAAGATGTTTGCAAACTACTACTACTAATAAGAAAGTGGGTTAAAGAAAGTTTTTTATGCTGGCTCGATAGTCGACCAGCAAGTTAGTTATACACACTAGCAGCCAATTTGATTGTATGTGCACACACATACAGCTCTAACATGCTCCTCACTTTCTCTTTGCAGTACTTTCACAAGACTTACGTGAAGTTTGGTTGTGGTTCAGTTGATGTAGGAAGCCTGTTCGTTGAGTAATCATGTAGTTGTGTAGCTTGAGGATTGAAGTACTATAATATAGTTTTTATAATTGTCTGCTTATTGTAATAGTGTCAATATTTAATAAAATAAATTAATTATTGCATATCTCCCACAACATTTTCTGAATGTGTTCTTAATATATTATAGAATTGCTTTGTACTTGTGTTTAATATATAAAACATAATTAGCAGAAATGAGTTTGTAAAATAATGTTAAACAGGATACAATTACGATCTCTTCGGTAGAACAAATACTTATTTGGTAAAGTGAAAGTTATTAGTGTCAATAGCTTATGTATTTATAAGTAGATGATGTAAAAATTTATAAATAAAATGTAAACATTATTATTAATAGTTATGTATGTATGTATGTACATTATTCATTTTTATATTATTATTGATGACAACATTAGGTAAATTCTAGTGAATAACAGGTTCCTGAACAAAAATGCTTAAGACTAAGAACAAAGGAATTGCAACAAAACATGTTGTCTGCATTTTAAAGAATTTTAGTTATGCAATTACCAACAAATATTGTGAATAGTACGATTTTTTAATTCATAAAATTGTTTCTCATCGACATGCTCGTGGGCGGAACCAGACATAGACCGAAGGTTGTTCACCCCTACCAGTTTCTTTTGGCAGCGTCCATCACGCGCGGCGTTACGCATCCCCACCAAGGTGCGGGATCCCCTCCATATGTTTTTGATACAACACCAAAACACTCCCGCTCCCGACTCCTTCCTCCACCGACAGGAAAATCGCGAGAGGAGGGGTTGTGCGGCCTTCGTGCGCGGCACTCTCGCCTCAGCGCTCAGGGACAGCCACGCGCCCGTCTAACGGTGTAACAAAGTACCGCTACCGAAATAAGGTCACGGATTTTCACATACTATACGCTAAAATATATTATAACACATACCTCGTATGCAATCTTTCTTCGGGCTCATAAAAATTGATCCTTATGTCCTAATTAAACAAATTATTAAAGATAATTGTATAAAGTATCGTAAATATAAAGTTCTCCCACTTTATAACAAATGAAATCCGCCATTACTGTTTCCGACGTTTAGAAAAGTTAGCACCAGGTGGCGGTGGAGCGCAAATCCTACTACGTGATTGGATAGTATGTTCTGTGGTGAATGGCATAGTTTTGAAATTGATCATGATAATCCTATTATCAAATTAACTAAAAAAATTGTAGTGTTATAAGAATTGAAGTTGAATAAATTATCATTTTTTTAAATATGTTAATTGGTCACCTGTCAATGCTTACTTTTAAAACCAATAATTAATAATTAACTTAATAATTCACAGAGTAGTTATTTAATCTTTACAAACTACACATAATTTTATTACTATATCAAAACTTAGAATTTAGTAAAATAGGTATTCTCATAATTTAGTAGCACAAAAGGTCCTTCATTCAACAGAGGATGGATAAAGGATAATAATAAAAATGTATGATGAAAACAAGACAAAACTAAATATAACCAAATTTTATTTCTAAAGAAAATAATTATAAACATTTTGATATACATTAATTTACCATACAATTATGTTCATTCAACTAAAAAACATTAAAATGCAAATTAATCAGCATTTTTTATTTTGTTTAATTATGTCTAGAATAACATTACAAAGTAATATATATTATAATACAGGTACACAACTAAAACATGCACTATTCTAACAATACTATTTCAAAAAGGAAACTGTTGTCCCGATCGCTGTATTCTTTCTAAATGCAATTCAAATAATAGCTTATTTTCATAAAAATATCTACTCTGAGATGATGTAACTCCAGGGTCATAACTAGGCCTTCTTTCGGGATTCTGTAGATGGTTTGTAGCTGAAATCATCGGTGTTTCGTTATTAGCACTGTTGCTTATCCCATTAACGTGACTGAGTTCTGCAGAGCGACTAAGTGTTTGATTGGAAAGGTTGTTATTTATGTGCAAGTTATTTATTCTCTTAGAGAGTGGCATGAATTCGCATGTGTCTTCTTCACGAGATCTCTTCCTGGAAACATACATACATATTAACATAAATATAGACAGATCTTCTAGTAAACAGTTGTCCTCACGCGTTGAACTTATTACCTGTTTTCTGTCATAGTTCTAAATATATAATTCCCATTACTCCCAAGGTAAGTGTTCCAATTAAGCGTGGGACTCCGTCCAAAAGTCATCGGCTTCTAATTACTTTTGCTGTTGCGACAATACTTATAAAATATAAATATTTATTGTAAATAATAAACAGCAAAAACTAACAGAATGACAGTTCAATTTTCTGTCAATTTGTCAGAACGAAGAAAAGAATGACAGTGACAGTAGACATTTGACAGCACAGAACACTATTACTCCTACGTCTGTTTGACAGACACACCACATGTAGCAACCAGCAATAAACCGTAGATAGAGATACTATGTCTATGCAATAAACATCACAAGCAAAAATGATCCAAAGAGTATAGATAGATGCAAAATATTCGCAAAACAAAGATGTTTTATAGGTCTATACCAGTATATACCTACCTATAAAAGATCTTTGACGCAAAATATGAATTTACATATTTGTGCTAAAACTCTAGCAACTAGTCGGTCCGAGGGATCGGTGTGCGCAGAATTTCCAAAGGAAAGGAACCTTAATATATAATTGAAGATTGGAAAGGCGTGATCGGACTTCTCATTGAAGATGATTGTCCGTACTCCTATATTCAGGGGTGGGATAGATTGCTGCTCTACGAAAAGAAGCTCTCTTGGCTTTCATAAGGTTGCTAATATGCAGGGGAAGGCTATTATTATTAGCAACCGGGACGACCCTTTAATTCTCCTTAAGGGAGGATTTTATAAGGGTGGATGTTTTATTCATCTAATTCTAACCTATTAAATACATGTCCAAAAAACATCGATAATGGCCAACATCGATGTTTTAAGTAGGATAAATATAGAACGTCGATGTTGAGCTATCGGTGTCAACATCGATGTCATCATCGATGTTTCTACAATATTGATCATTCCTACATTACCGATAATATCTTATCGAAATATTATTAACAAGCAAACGTACGCATGCAGCCTAATTCATCTTAGTAATATTTTTTTTTAATTTTAGGTTCCCGTTCCTAAATATTTCTCTAATCGTATAAAAAATATTTTAATAGAATTTGGGTGACAAACGAGCTCACAGTTCACCCGATGATAAGTGAATGCTGTGGCAGATTTTCACAATATATTTATATTCGGACAAAAGTTGTTGAAAATAATAAATAGAAAAGAATTGGTTCCCAAAAGAAAATATTTGACTACTAGCTTTTTACTCGCGGCTTCGCTCGCGTGAGCTTGAATTTAGGAACATCATTAAATACTGTTCCGTGTCAAATTTAGCAAAATTCGATTACGAATCACCTGGGTGTCTGTGTCTGTCAAAGATTTTTTTTGAATTCTAAATAACTATTAGACGTAAATTAGTATTTAGCATAGATATAATATGCTACAAGAACACGTGAATATAATATGTGTCTAGAAATACCTACTATTTTTTATATCGCGTGTGTCTTCTGATGTATCCATAAGAAAGGTAAATTGTCTTGGAATCAAAATTTATTTACATTTTCTTCTTTACATTAATTAATACTTCAAGTTAATTTAGTTTTTACAACATAGGTAATTTCATCATCTAAATGTAATTTACCGTATAATGATTATTTGAGATAATTTTATTCATATTATTGGTCCTATTTAATATTAATTGGCACCATAAAATAGATGTAGTAGATATTTTTTTACGTTACGTTACGTTTTATACGTGGTAGAGCCATGCTGCATCTATATTATGGTTGTAGCACGAATGGTTCGGCTCGACCGGGGAAAGACCACGCTCTCACAGAATACCAGCGTAAAATAGCAGCTTAACACTGCTGTGTTTCGTATGGTGAGTGTAGAGAACCGGAGACCCTTTTTACTGGATAAGAGGCATTCCATCTTAGTCCTCACGCATCTGCATTTTGACTCTTAATCGAAGATAGATGTAGATGTCTATGGGCCACAGCGACCACTTACCATCAGGTGAATTGTATGCTCGTTTGTCACCCTTATCCTATAAAAAATAAAACGTTCAAGTACTACACATGGAATAAAACTAATGTTACGGATTTTATTACGATTAATTTTAACTATTTTTCTGGGGGGATTTTTTACGCATCTTTGGATGAAAGTTCCATAAAAACCCGCGTAAAAGAACATTTATCGTTGATGTGAAGCACTGACGCTCTGGGAAGTCTAAAGTATGTATGTCAACATGTTTAGTATCTTCCCAAACATTATATCGTATCTGATAAACAACAAATCCTTGCAATCACACAAAACACCGATCCCTATCAATGATGGCTCGCGAGGCTATTGAAATTAAAAAAACATCGTAATTTTAATAGGGAAGATGGCTGAGTACTACCATCTGCTAAGGACCCTATAATTAATAAAATTAATTTCAAACCCAAGCATACTACTGCATTTATTCTACTCTATTCTATTCTTATTTTATTCTATTCTAACACAATAAAATCCTTAAAATTAGTTCTTTTCCTTATAAATTTTATTCACAGTGAACGTGGGAAGCACTACAATCATGAACGGAAGTAGAAACATGTTCGCCTTGTTGTGGCGGTGAAAGAAAATCCGCCACCTCATATCGTCTCGTCGTAAGAGGCGACATAGGAAAACAAACAGGATATGGGCAGCATTATGTTCCTGAGACCAGATCAAACTAATAATAGCTGTGGTTGCCAACCCGCCTATCAAGCGTGGCAACTATAGCAAATATCTAGCTACTTAATCATTTATGGGGGAGGCCTATGTTCATTTCAGTGGACTTTTGATAGACTGACGATAATGAGTTGTACTCATCTTTGCAACCCTTAATATTTATATAAATAAAATATAGAGAGATAGAGTGTAGGTAGAGTGAAAACAAAAAGTAACATACCCGAAAATATGAATGAAATAAAATCTGCATAATATATTGCCCCATGAAAAGTAAAAAAGTAGCAGCTTACATACATGTGTTACAACTGGGAACACGCCACAGAGAGTGTTTGGTCAAAAGTGTTCGCTGCGCTGATTCTAAGGCGGGATGACCTCTACTGGGAAACTTCTCAGATATTCTGATTTTTTTCACCACCGAGAACGAGGTAAATCGACACTTCAAATTGCAATTAAAATATACGCCTAAATATATTTTAATTGTAATTTGTTATAATAACGCTTACGTACCATGAAATTTAAGTTTTAATCAAGTTAATTACCGCATTTGACAATTAAAATAAAATGAACCTTTGTTTAAGAAAAATTTGCTTTCTTTAATTAAATTATTTTTCCGCAAGAGCCTGTTCATTTACATATTATACCAAGCCGGGCATTTGCACAGAGCGGCAAAAAATGAGTGGCGGCAAAATTGACTTATTCCTATGTTTCAACCTAGCCATTTGCCATCCACCACCCAAGTTGGCAGATTGAGAATTTTATGTGCCACCTTCCGTCCTACATCAAGTTGGATAGTGGAAATATTTAAGTATTTTATTTAACTGAATTATTTTAGTTCTAAAGAAAGAAAGAAGAAATAGGGATCCGCAAAAAGTACCTATACTTGAGTAGTATCGATACTTTCATTTCGATGCTAAGTATATTTGGACACGATACTTTTGTTCCGACATTTTTGAGGTATATCGATACTTATTAAAGTACTCGATACTTTTAACAAAATTTGTGTCACATCATTAGATTTGGGTCGTAGAAGTAGGGGATTACCCTTTTATATATAAAAACTTATTTTTTAGAGCGTATGTTGTCAGTTTCTCGTGATTGGTACCTATTTAGTAGATTTATTATTATCAATTAAGTAAAAAATGATTTAATACAGTTTAATCCTGATTACTTTTTTACTGTTGCTCTAATTTATTTTTGTACCGACAATTTAATACGTCAAAATTTAAATTTAGTTAGTTTGATACCATTATTAAGTGTCTCATTGGTGATAAGTTCCGAACTCCAAGTTCCGAGATTTCTCGGATAATATTAGATATTACGGATATTACTCAATCGGAAGTTTTAAAAATAAATTAAAAAGTACTCGATACCTATTAATATATTTTTTTATAGGAGAGAGGGCTAACGAGCATGCGGCTTACCTGATGGTAAGTGACTATCGCCGCCCATGGACAACCGCAACACCAGGGGAATTGCAGATGCGTTGCCGGCCTTTTAAAAAGGAGTAGGCTCTTTTCTTGAAGGTCCCTAAGTCGTATCGATCCAGAAAAATCGCTGGTGGTAAACTATTCCACAAGGAAGTTGTGCGAGGAAGAAAACATCTTCTAAATCGCATAGTGGTGGACCGCCAATCATCCAGATGGTATGGATGGTATCGGGAGTTCTGCCGCGATGTGCGTTCGTGAAATTTGGCGGCTGGGATTAATCCGAACAATTCCTCAGAGCACTGCTCATGGTAAATGCGAAAGAAAATGCAAAGAGATGCAACATCTCTTCGCAGTGCCAATGAGTCGAGTCGATCGGAAAGGACTCGGTCTTCGACGATTCTAGCCGCTCTGCGCTGGATGCGGTCAAGTGGAAGGAGCTGGCACTTGGGAGCCCCAGCCCAGAGATGGGAACAGTATTCCATGTGAGGCCGAACCTGCGCCTTGTAAAGTTGCAGGCGTTGAGCTGGCATGAAATACTGTCCCGCTCTGCTGAGCACGCCAAGCTTTTTAGAGGCCAATTTGGCCTTCTTTTCCAAGTGACCACGAAATTGCACGTCACTCGATATATCGACGCCGAGGATTCCGATACTGGCTTAGGCAACAAGGGGAGTACCTTGAAACTGAGGAGATACGACAAAGGGGTTCTTTTTAGCGGTAAACGCGCAAACTTGTGATTAAACTGGACTAGATTTAGTCGCTCCCAATCCGAGACTTTGTCCAGCAAAGACTCGACTTCAGACACAAGTTTGTTCCAGTACTCGGTGACGTTTTCCCGAGAAATATTGGCACGGCCGGTGTATAGAGCATCACCAGTGCTGTCATCTGCATAGCAATGAATGCTACCGGCTTGCAACATATCATTGATATGCAGAAGAAACAGCGTTGGTGATAGCACGCAGCCTTGTGGAACAGCATTGTTAATAGGCTTGTAATCGGAG